GCCCAATTTTGTCCAATGAAACAATGTTTATATTAAAGGCAATGAAGATAAATATAGTGAAAGTAGGCTATGCTATTGCAATCTAAAAACAAAAATAATGCTTTTTCAAGCAGAAGTTGAATTCACTAAACTAAAAATGAAAGTAAATAAACACATGAGCACAGATTAATGGCATTGTATTTTATTACTCCATTACTGCTATCTGCTATCATAAAATACACTTACGTGTAGGTTTAAAATTCTACATATGACACAATTATTGCGCTCCATCTGTTTGGCGCTCGTTCACTGAAGTCTGTGAAGTTTAGCAGAGAATCGCATGCAGAAGGCTCCTGACAGCAGAATGGAAAATAATGGAGTCATATTGCGCTTTCAGTTTTATTTCAACTACAGACCTACTTTATTTATTTTTAATTTCTTTATTTAAATCATTATTAGCTTTTTATCAACTCACAAACCCCCGTTTGGAAAACTCTGCTCCAGCATATGATTTTATGTGCTGTCTGTTTCTACATTCTGTTCTAATTCCTACTATCATGTTTCTCAGTCATAGTTCTGCTTGAGTAAGTTTGAGTGTCTTCTGTCTGATGTGTGATCTCATCTCAGGCGTATCGTGACCCCATGCTGAAGCTGTCTATTATGACAGAACATGAGCTCAATCAGATCTTCTTCACGCTGGACTCCCTCATTCCACTGCATGAAGGTGAGCCTCTGTGTGTTTCAGTGTGGCGCAACCTGACACATTTCCAGCTACAAGTCTCTGTTCATCCAAAGTGAAAATGAAAAGCTGCGCAATGGGACACAACCACATCAAATCAGAACAGAAACTGTACCGTACACCAGTCATGATACCACTTGACTGCTTAAGCAAATGGAGAATATTGATTTTTGGTTTAAGTACTGGTTTTTAAGTTGATTTTATGATGTGAGATGAGAGCACAGAAGATCACAATAAAAACATGCTATCAGTGCCCTGTTGTTACTTCACCACAAGGCATAAAGTTGCTTTCCAAAACCTTCATCCTCTCTGCTCCTCTCTGGACCTCTATGCGAACTGCTGAAACCATCACAGCTTTCCAGAAGCCACTCAATAACCCTGAACCAATGCACTTGCACTTCTCATCTGCTCTAGCTTGTCTCCTAGCTTTCTAAGAAATGTGGCATTATCTACTAAGCAACCTAATTTTTGTTGGCTCTGTGACTAACTGCTCATGCTCCTCCATTGTATGTAATTTTGTGTTAAAGCGTCTGATAAATGCATAAATGTAGATCAATTCACAAAAATGAGCTCACAATGAGACTGTCTCCCTTCCCTGAATTTCTAAAAACAATATTTTGATTGAAATATGAAAACATGTGATATAGACCAGTCCTTTGTCAATGTCACCACATTGAAGTAGTGACAAAAGACCTTAGCTGTTTCTCTGATCTTGTAGATTTGCTGAGTCGACTCCGAGAGGCCAGAAAGCCAGACGGTTCGACTGATCACGTGGGCCATATTCTAGTAGACTGGGTAAGATCCTCTCACTGCTATGCTGTATATTCAGCTGTATCTGATGAACAGAGATGAAACGATTTGAGCTGCTGATTTTAGAACACATGTTGTTTTCATTTGTCGTGTGTCTCCTAGAAATGAGGTGCATTTTTTGTGTGTGTGAGTTTGTTGTGTTTGGAACAACCTGAACGACTGGTAGTGTGTGATCCTCAGGTGTTCAGTGTATCATGCCCAGTTTTTCTCTGCAACCACTTATGGCAAGTGTATGATGCTTAGTGTTTTAAAATCTGTTCAGATTTGAAAAGTCATGTCATATATATTCTGTTGTGTTTGGGGGTGTCTCATCTGATGAAATCTCCTGAAATCCCTCCTGCCGGAGGTCCGTCACAAACAGTGGTTAAGAATCAAAAACTCAGTGATGAATGCCAAAGAAACTCTGTACAAGGAATCAAATTTTGAACCATTGGCTGTGTCTGAAATCGCCTCTTATACCCTTACATAGTGCACTTTTGGGGACAGCCATTTGTAGTGGTGTCCGAAATCACACTGGATATCCCATAATGCACCACGATAACGCGTGTACAACTGTAAAACTCAACAGCTACAGGATACTTACTCTTTGTCCACTCCTGCAGTCCACACTGAACGCATCAAAGTGAAAGTGATGAATACATTTGTCCTGATGTGGGAGGTAGTGCAAGTGCATGGAGCATCTAGTGTTGTTGTTGATAATTCACCCATAAATGACAATTCTGCACATCATTCCAAACCCATATGACAAATTAAGGTAACGGATATCTTTGTAATATCACTGAAGAACGTTGGCCAGACAAGACAGCGTTCCTTCAGAAGCAGGACACTGAATACGTCTCTTTCTTTCTGGTTGTAGCTCCCTTGTCTTGAAACCTACAACAGTTACTGCAGTAACCAGGTAGCAGCCAAAGCATTGCTGGACCATAAGAAGCAGGACCATCGGGTGCACGACTTCCTTCAGCGCTGTCTGGAGTCGCCCTTCAGTCGCAAACTGGACCTCTGGAGCTTCCTGGACATCCCGCGCAGTCGCCTGGTTAAATACCCGCTACTGCTGCGAGAGATGCTCAAACACACGTCGAACGACCACCCCGACCGCCAGCACCTCGATGAAGCTGTGAGTCTCTGCCACCTTCACTAGTCTTACACTACAACTCTAAATGAGAAGAAAATAGCATCTTGTTCTGTACATCAGTGTGTCTGTGTGTGTGTGTCTGTGTCGCTGTGTGTGTGTGTGTGTGTGTGTGTCTGTCTGTCTGTGGGTGTGTGTGTGTGTGTGTGTGTGTCTTTCTAAAACATGATAGAACAAGGTCTCATTAGTGTGAGGAGTGTCTGTGTGTGTGTGTGTGTGTGTGTGTGTGTGAATCTGTGTGTGTGTGAGTGTGTCTGTGTGTGTGTCTGTGGGTGTGTGTGTGTGTCTGTGTCTGTGTGTGTGTGTGTGTGTGTGTGTGTGTGAATCTGTGTGTGTGTGAGTGTGTCTGTGTGTGTGTCTGTGGGTGTGTGTGTGTGTCTGTGTCTGTGTGTGTGTGTGTGTGTGTGTCTGTCTGTCTGTCTGTCTGTGGGTGTGGTCTAATTTCTGTCTCTTTTCTTTACCGCTCTTTGTCTTTCATAGATGAACATGATCCAGAGCATCGTGGCTGATATTAACACTCAGACGGGCGAGTCGGAGTGCCGTTACTATAAAGAGCGCTTGCTGTATCTAGAAAGTGGTCAGAGAGATCTGTTGATCGACAGCTCACGGATCCTCAGCTGCCACGGAGAGCTCAAGAACAACAGAGGAGCCGTAAGAACCTAAGTCATTTCTCTTTCTGTTTGAGAGTCTAGTCATTTATCAGTCAGGTGTCACTGGAGAAACCCCAAAAACTGTGTCCTCGCATTCCTGAAGAACTAGTCACTGGATTTTCCAGAAAAGTGGCCTCAAATCTAAAAAGCATGGGCGTCGGAAGCAACAAAAATGTGGGCGGGACTAACATAGTGTAATGAATTTTAACTCATTAATTGTATAAGGGAATTAATTATTATTATTAATTCAGGTTTTTAGAGGACTAGGATCTGAAGAGCCTAATTCAACCTGATTCCAGTTACAATAGTGTAAGTGTAACAGGCGAACATTCAGTTAAATAGCAGCTTGTTTAGTGACAGTAGCCTATGTGAACACAGCCAGACCCACCTGAGCGGAAGAAATGCTACAATGCTTTGTTCATCTTTCTGTGTCGCGGGACTGCAGCAGGCGCGAGTACTGAAAACACGAAATGGAGTTTAATTTATATGGACTCTGAATGAGCCAGTGTGTGTGTGTGTGTGTGTGTGTGTGTCTGTGGGTGTCTGTGTGTGTGTGTGTGTGTGTGTGTGTGTGTGTGTGTGTGTGTGTGTGTGTGTGTGTCTTGTGTGTCTTGTCCCACCCACATACAATGGTTCCGACGCCCATTCTAAAAAGTATTATAAAAATATTATTTGGTTTGACACACTCAGTAGCAGGTGAACCAGATATTTATGAGCATAACTGTAAAAACTGTAAATTGAAATAATCTGTACCGAATACTTATGGATCTAATATATTCCAAAATGACCTGTGAAATGTGTGAAATGA